TGTACATCCCAGTCGACCATGACGTAGACGCACTTTGTGACTTGCGGATAGCGGACTTGGACTCCTTGAGCCTAGTCCGTTCCAACAGCTCAAAGATTTCAAGGACAGCATCTTCATCGTAGCGCTCGTCCACATCGTACTGAGTTGCCAACTCCTCGATCTCCTGCTCTAGAACTGTCAAAGGACTCATTGCCATAAGCGTAGACTTGTCACGAACTCTTCTTGTAGGACCTGGACTCAGCTCTGTAGATTGGTCGGGTACTACGACTTCCCCTTGTGGTCCCCAATGCACACTCTCGCTGAGCCCAAGCTGCGTGTCCCATTGCCAGCGGCCAGCACGACATTGGTAGCTTCGAAGCCTGAAGCAAGGTCTTGGCCCTGCGTTTTAACATGTTCACGACCTGCTCCGCTCTGCCATTCGTCTGAGGTACTTGAGCTTCCCTTGTGGTGGGGTAGACGTCTCTCTCGAGCAGCCATCTTCGGATGTTTTGTCCACGGAGCTCTCGTGCTCGGTCCGAGTGCACACGTTGTAGTGGGAGGCCTTCTGAACGGAGTTGTACATATAGCAGCCTGATCGCAGCTTCCACTTCTGGCGCAAGGCGAGTTTTCAAGGGCACCATGTAGTAGAGGTTCTGGTACTGAACTCCATCTCCGATTTCTCTGAAAACCCTTTTAAACTCCTCATTGACCTCGTCCAGCTCCCCTTGGATGTCCTCGCTCTCCTCAGGCTCTGGCTCGTCGATCTCCTCCAAGAATCCTGTATCCTCATCCAAAGGCCCAACACCATGCCCATCATCACCTTCTGCCGGCTCCTCCTCAGGAAGTTCTCCAGGGATCTTGTAGTCCTTGTACCCGGCAATCAACGGCATCGTGTAATTTCCAACAAGCGCGTAGCGGTAGCCCTTGGCGTCTGCGCTCTCACCCTTGACGCGGAAAGGACCGCATAGGTCTATGGATAGAGTGTAGCAGCTCGGGGCCACAACCCGACGATGACATCTTCCAGTAGCCGCAGTCTCCACACACGTCTTACAGTGTCTGTCGTAAGGGAGGTGCCCGTTAGCCACGTGCCTCTTCCACCTCCGCAGCTCCTCAGGACTCACTCCCGTTCTTGCCGCGCACATCAGCAAGGGTTCGGGTCTCTTTCGCCACGCTAGAATGCCGTTGG